AAGGGGACATGATAGACAAAGAATTCATTCCTGTTTTGAAGATCAGAGTTTGAAGTTGAGTTCACTACCAGAAGAATTATTTATTTAAATGATTCATTCGAATTGTTAAGTGCACATTGACAGCGTTAACACATAATTTTGGAAGTATTATGAATTCATTCAAAGACATTCATAATCACATAATTGGTATATCAGGACATTCAAAACTATTGGAATTAATTAAAGACATTTTGTATTTCTGAACTTGTGATACAATATTTTAAATTTTTTGATATTTCATAGTACTGTCTTGAAGGTTTACTTTGTATTCTAGGGTAATAAAATTTTCACTTTGTATTCTAGGGTAATAAAATTAGATATTTTAAGACCTCCAGTCATAACACAGTTCAAAACATCTCGATTTTTCAGTAGAAAACATTCTTCATATCGAAGTTGTATTATTACTGAAGTACCTGAGATGGCTTAGTCTTGGCCATACAGTATCTGCATGGAGAATCTAAAGATGTAAATCTATGAAAAGGCAGAGTTATGCCCCCTTGATCCGGATCCTTAAGCAAGTGTTGAGATCATGAAGGTTATGATATAAAAAAAAATGTTACTGATTGGCAAATATCCCGTAAGGTATACAGTACTGCTGCCTAAATTGTCAAAATTCAGGGCATCACTGATTTTATCATATGAAAATTTGGCTTTGTGTTTCATTGCTTTTGTTTTAAAAAATCCAGTTAAATGTTGCCGTTATTTAAAGATAGAATGGTCTTTAAGAGTCTAGTTTGAAGGCCTTGTTGTGGGTGTGGCAAAATCCTAATCACTGATATGAGCCTAATATTGGGTTCTCAGTGGATATAAAAAATGAGGAGTCATTTGACCTTCGACGCCATAATCTTGGGAGTCAGTTGAAATTAGTTTCTGAAAGTCATTAACTTACTGCTGTGATTGACTGTTGTATCAGGAGCAAATTGATTTCTTGTCCCATGCTGAATAAAGAGAAACTCTTGTATTTTGTAAGAAAAAAAAATGCAGACAGTGAGACAGACACGGTCATTTCTGATTTTTATAGAAAGATTATTTTATACTCTATTATCTGTTCAGCATCTCAAAATATTATTTTTTAAACTATTTTTTAACTTAATTTTTGCCCAGGAAATTCTTATTGAATGATACAATAATTAAAATACCCAAATATGTAAATATTTTCTTGAATAAAGCAAACTAATCATCATAAAACAATAAACATTGGTTCATTTTCTTTTAACAGTTGCCATATTTTCCAGTTTAGTCTAATTGAATATAATTTGATAGTTAATCAAACAAATGCTGATATTGGATCAAACATTAATAGTCATAACTTATCCTAAAAATCAAATATAATTTGAAGACAATATAATCTTGATTTAGTTATGTACATTTAAGCATGACATCAATGACCTGTTAGCACTGCCAGTTCATATTGATTTTATTTGGTGCAATATCATTGGCCAATCAAGTGTGAAGAGTAACAAATGTGGATCATACAATGACTCATTCTGTCCCAATGATACAGATTTTAAATTTGGTTACATTACAGGTGTGATCTGGCATAATTAGATTTTATTTTAAAATTCAATTTTTATTAGGCGAAACTCAAGAGTCCAGAGCCTCAAAACTTGGTGTACCTCATTTTCATTTCACTCCACACACTACCACTCCTCATCCCCTGCCCTGGCATGGGTTACATTTTAGGGTTTATTCATTGAAATCATATCAAAATTATTAAATTTTTTTTCTCTGGCAATCTCTAACATGTTGCATAAGGATGTAGCTTGTGTCTCCTCAGGAATATTTTTATGTCTCTAGGCCTTAAACAATACAGTATTACAATGTGAAAGCACAAATTTAGTAAAACCTACAAATAAATTATTTCTCTGTTAAAAAGTGAACATTTAAGATGCTTACAGTATTGTTATTTAAAGTGAAGATTCCTAATCAAATATTCTTAAAAAATTTCCAGGTGTTTTCCTGGATTAAATCCATTATCTCAAGGTTCATATATGATCATTACTGAATGGAAATAATGAACATTTTTGCTTAAAAGAACGTACATTTTTCAAATCAAAAGGTGTTTTGTTTCTTAAAGATTTGCCATAACATCTGAACACAAAGTACAGCCATGTGCTAAATCACAAATTGTATCACAAGATACATGTTTGACTTCTGAAAATTCATATAAATTATAAAGGTAAATCATTTCAATTTACATAATAAAAATGTTAACTTGAATAATGTTAAACTGTATTATATTGGTATGAGGAAACAAAAACAAAATGAATAACTTAAATTAATTTTGCTTTCTTTCTAACATTTAATTCTCAAAAAAAAATCAGAAAAATTGGTTGTGAGTCAAGATAGCAATGTCTCAAGCAGAATATTTACTGACATAGCATTTATTTACAGAAAATTTTAGAGCCAGCAAATTCAAAATCAAATTTACTATGATTTAGAAAATTTACCAAATCTATATGTATGATATGCATGTTAACATTTTCTATCACAGTACTAAAAAATAAGAAATGCAAAGAATCTTACCTTATAGAGCAAAAAGTATTAATCTGGCATTAATATGTGCCAATAAAACCAAAAACTATTTTTCTCAAAACCTCAACTTCTTAAGATGATTTGGTTAATAATCAAACACCAAAGGGTTGATTTAAAATTTGACAAAGACTATTAAAATTACATACTACTGTATAACAAAATGATAAAAAAAATTTTTGTAAATTCCACTGTATTGATACTCACATGGGCTTGTATTGTTTCTTAAAATTTACCTCATATATAATTCAAGGGATGACAATCTGTTTAAGAACTGACTCTGATGTTTCTTCACATAACATAATAATTTAGCACAAATGTTTAATTCAGAGATTCAACATTTTAGATTACATCCAGTTTGACTTAACTAAGTCTATCTATCCCAGAGCACTGTGGTATCACAGTTCTTAAAACTAGTGATCATCAAATAAAAATAGACACTTACCCTAAATATATTATGTCTATTTGCTGTTCTTTGCTCTTTATTACAATGCTTTTAATTTTAGTTCAAACATGTTTGATGGAAACAATTGATAAAGAGACACCATGTAGATTCCAGGTTATGCAAGGGAGTGACACTGATATTATGGTAATACTGAAAAAATATCTGTACAGAGGCATATACATGTAGATTTTGCACAAAGTTTTTAGCTTGAAACTTACCTGGAAATTAAGAAGGCTAGTATATTTATAGTATCATTTTAAATTAACACATCTTGATTTCTTTTTTTTAAACAGTGAGGACACTTGAAAACATTGTCCTCAAAACTTTAAAATTTAAACAATAGTTAAGATTAGCATATGTATAAATCTGTCCAAAATATTGAAAACTTGACTTTGTGTTCCTGTCAGTAATTTGCTCTTCGATTCTTATGACCTGACTTTTATCACATATGCTGCTACTATTTTATTCTGTTTTTATAAGGCTTTGTGATGAGACCATCCGTCTTGACTTCTTCATGTTGGTATGTATCAAAAAGCTTGTCAATATAACTGGGTGCCATGATATCAAGGTTCATAAAAACCAGTAAAATAATTGTAAAGATGTCTGTGACCTTTTTTCCTGTCTCTTACTCTTAGGTTTACTGGAACATTTCCAGCAAATGGGTTGTAGTTTTAAGATTAATTATTGCTTTATTTATTGTATTACTTTATTTGTATACAGCTTTTCTTGATCAACAAGTTCTGTGATTTCACTACAGAATTCAGACTCCAGCAGTACATAACCAGACAAAATAAAACAAACTGTAATGTTAATAAATTACTTGTGTACGTACGTGTATCTGCTTTCTGAAATAATGGCAGAATATGTACTCCATTTTCCCTTTTAATTTCAGTCAATGTATATTTTCCTGTGAACATATCATAGTTGTAATATTCTTCAGTAAATATAATAACCTTACCTCCTATAAAAACAAAAGTAAAAATCTAAAAAACTGAAAACTCCTATGAAATTGATATGGATTTGCTTGTATCTTTGCCAACGGGAAAGAAATACAATATGTGTCCACAGCTGCCATGATTCTAACTACATATAATTAAAGGAAACTGATGTGTGAATATAGCAAAATTGAGCTGAAGACTGAATCAGATTAGAAAAAACATCCAACCTCAACTTGTATTATATCCATCTATTCAAGTCATTATACATAAGGAATGGTTGTTTTTAAAAAAACAAAACATACAATTCATAAATATTTTAAATGTACCTTTAATTCCTTAATAAATAAAGCAAGACAAAGTTTTAAACTCTACACCTGTCTATTGCAAAATCCATCAGAACTTACAGAAAACATTAACATACTTCACATTCTGACCCTCATCGGCTACCAAAGATTTCGTCTCCTGCTTCTTGATGGTCATCTGACTCTTGCATGGCATTAGTAGACTTTATCAGATGACAAACTGGTCAACAGGTTGTTTACAGGGACATCAATTTTTAGAAGATATGGAGTTTATGAGAACATGGATGCAAGGCCATGTTTGGAACCAGTGATATTCATGGGTGCATTTTTAAAATAGTGTCCTTGCCAGCAATCCCAATAGTTTCCCAAAATAAAAAGATAATTTTTTTTATGCAGGACTAATAACTCATGGTCATCTGATGTATATAAAAAAAATACAAGGAATGTCAGACCCTTTTACCAATGTTGCTGATGGCCATGATCACACTAACTTAGTATGCAAGTGAACATGCAGAAAGAAATACTGCACTCTCATTGTCCACAAATATGAGGTCAGCTTGCGCAGTATGTCATTTTGGTCCACCAATAAGTTGGTAGATTTCTATATATTTAGCAATGTTGTGTAGTAAATTTCACTGTAGTGGTAAGTTGTGGTCAAGGTTACTATTGACTAGTCTGTGTTCCCCTTACTAATTAGCGAATAATAAGCTTTATTACAACACATATTGAACACATTAAAACCATGACTGAACTGCTCCGGTGGCCTAGTGGTTAGGGCGTCTGCCTTGGATGCGGGAGGTCATGGGTTTGATCCCTGATCGAGTCATACCAAAGATTTACAAAAAATGTTACTAACAGCTGCCTCGCTTTACGTTCAGCATTAAGAGGTTAATGTTAGGACTGGTCAGCCTGGTGTAAGGATAATGTGACTGGGTGGGACATCATGCTACATGTCTGCAGCATGATACCCCAGTGCTAGACATCACTATAAACTTCCACACTGCAAACATTGTAGTGATATGACTGAAAAATTGTTAAAGGTACGTTAAAAATCATAAACACCACACCACACATCAAAACAGAATCTGGTGGCAAGAAACTAAAATTTATCTTAAACTCTCCAAGATCATGCTATGTTGGCTTGTTGTGATGCTAGATTGGTCTTCCTACCTTTTACATGAGAAAATATACCAATATGAATAACAAATATGAATACGAGTACAAATAATTGCCCAAAACTGGCTGGCAAGAGCCCCTTGAAGGGACTGATGAACTACTGAGCAAAAGCAATTTCCCGGAATTAAAGATAACTTCTTCCATTAAACTCTTGAGTGTTGAAACCATCTCTGATAATATTTAGAAATTAAAAATTTGCAATTTTGCTGCTGTTGTGCACATAGATATCAGCTTGGTGCCATTTTCATTCAGGAGAAAGTAGACATTATAGGTGTTTTGGTTAAAACCCCACGTCACAATAATCATTCAGGAATAGCGACAATAATTTTTTTAGACATTGATGCAGCCATATTGAATGTATGACTGACACCATTTACATTCAAGACAAACTAGGTATCAAAAGAAGTATAAGGGTGAAAACTAATTTTTAAATGTACCATGAATTTGGGAGGTATTGAGATAATATTTTCAATCCGTAATTTTCCATTCAGGAGTAGTGACTTTCAAGATTGTTACTGTGGTGGCCATACTGGATGTCATTTTTATTTTACATAAACCAGACAATCATAAAAAGTCTTCTGGTGAAACCCCCATGTTAATACAACAAGCCATCAGGAGTGTCAATAATAAGATTTTCATGATGGCCACTGTGTGGTGGCCATATTGGATTTCATATAAACACCTTTTACTTTAAGGCTACTGGACTTCACAAAAAGTTAAAGACTAACTGAACATCACAAGTCTTCTGGGAAAATCTTCACATTAATATAACTTTTTATTCAGGTAGAGTAGTGATAAAATTTTTAAGATGGCTGCTATAGAGGACATATTTGTCAAATTGGCACCATTTTTATTTATAACATGTTAACATATTAAGTACTGTAGTAAAACTCCCATGTTTATATGAACATCCGTTAGGAGAAGTAGCAATATAAAAGTTTTCAAGATGGCCATGTAGGATATAAGATCGGAAGCATTTTCATTTAAGACCAACCAGACATAATCAGAAATTCTTTTAGTAAAAACAAAATCTTAATACTACCTACATGTCAGGAGTAGGGATATTAGGTTTTTAAAGATGGCTGCCATGGTGGCCATATAGGATTTCAGATCAGCATCATTTTTGCACAGAACAATATTTTGCTCAGAACAAAGTTGACATTAAAATAGGTCTTGGTGGAAACCGAATGTGACCAATCATTCCGGATGTGTAGTGATAACAAGATTTTCAAGATGGTCACTGTGGTGGTTTTGTTCGAGCCATTTGTATCAAGTGCCTATTAGACCATAAGATGCATTATAGGTGAATTAAAGGTGTGAAGTTTCAGGGCAATCCTCCAAGTAGTAGCAAGAACAAATGGACAACAACTTTTTTGATCTGTGACTATAAGTTTTATGATGCTGGAAATAATAAATCTAAAGTCAAAATGGCAACTTGAAGGTAGTCAAGGAATTGAAGGCCAATTTTCAACATTCCTTTAGATATAAAAATAGATTTCATTTCAAACATGATTTGTAAAGGAAACAGTTTAAAACTCCAAGAACAATAAAATGTGTTTTTTTATGAACAGGAGAAAATATACAATAATTGTAATGAATAGGCACCTGAATTCAAATGGAAATTTGCTTGATACTTGAACAGTACAAACATGGATAGTTCCAATGTGCTTGCATTCCACTATGTATTAACTTCATGCATCAAAATCTCATTTACCTTTCATAGGGAATGACAAACCATCCCCAGGTAGTTCACAAGGAATCCATGGAAAGAGAAAAACAAAGTACCATCTCTTTCCAAGAAGTTCTGTAATGTTTTGTTTTAGTCCCATATTATAATCTCTGATGTTCATCTTTCTTTCATACCTTGTCTGTCCATTGAATATTTGGACAATCTGAATTTCAAGTAACCATGAAAACAATATGAATAATATAAAGCCAATGGTAGATAAAAGTGTTATAAAAAATTCATACAATGTAAAGTATCCAAACAATAAGCCAAATTGTGGACCAATAAAGGACAGAAGGTTCCAAAATGTTATGCCATTTTTAACTTGGAACACAAAAGAAGCATTAAATATATTACAGTAAAGTGCTGCAAGTGTTATATAGGTAACCATGGCAATATAGTAATGATGGTTATGATAGCCAACACAGTATCCAGCAAACCAGCAATGATGGTCTCTCCTTAGAACAGGAATTTGGCATACTTTACAGTAATGTGCTCTTGCAGGGATGTTGCACTGACTTTTCTCACAATACATCCATCCATCATGTGAGGGTCCCGAAGGGAATACCAAATGCCTTCCAGATATATCTGTTGTGATGAGAAGAAACATGTTTCCATAAATGTAGAAGGCAAATACCAATGCAGCAACATAGTGGACATATTTCATACTGCTGGATTCAGCGCCATCTGGATAGTATGTTGGCAAGATATGTAGTACTTCATACCATAAAAGAAAAAGTCCTCCAAATACAAAGACACAAAGACCAAATTTGTCCGCTGGGCTTTTTGGAAGTTCCCAACGTCTTAAAAGTTTCTGTGATAGCATCTTCTGTTAACTAAAAAGAAAAGGAAATTAAAGAAGTACAATAATTTTGACAAGATGGTGACATTGCATTATATTTGATCCTAAATTATTGAAAAATTATCAGCTGTGTTGATTAAACTCTTAAATGCTGAACACTAACAGAAAATGTAAACAAAAGCAAAACAAGGAAATGGTTAAATACATATCAAAAATGATTCTTAAAACATAAAAATAAATAAAATAGAATAAGAGGCTAAAGTGGTCCTGATATCCTTCACTTGGCCCATAGTCGGGGGGTTAGGCAAGACTAGAATCTAGGGAGAAGTGACTTCTTTTGGTTAGAACAGGGAGACGTGAAGGCTAAGCAGGGAGACATGAACAAAAAGCAAGAAACAATATATTTATATATATATATATATATATATATATATATATATATATATATATATATATATATATATATATATATATATATAATGTGTTCTCTTATTTGAATTATGCCCTCTATTTCCCAGTACATATATTCATATTTGCATTTTAAATTTTCCAGTAGAAAATTTTCTTAGTTTTTTTGGCCATATGACTCTAACAGAGAATAACAGAAAATAAAATTTTTTAACTCAGTAACCATATTACATTATTGTATAATATATATATATATATATATATATATATATATATATATATATATATATATATATATATATATATATATATATATATATATTGTTTCTTGTTTCAGTCATTTTTCTCCCTGTTTAGCTCCCTGTTTTCCCTATTCTAACCAAAATGAGAGGTCACTTCTCCCTAAAATGTAAGTCTAGCTTGACCCCTGATAAATATGAAAAATCTATAAATTCACATATGAATCACATGTTGAAAAATTTATCATTCACATAATGTTAGCAAATATAACTTGTATGTAAAAAAAAACCAAAACAAACGTGTCACTGAACAATGTAATGAGGTATTCATGGTTGGCAAATAGCACATGACTTTATAGTTGTTTACATGCCACATGTACATGGCCTAGATTTTGGTCAGCTGGAGAAGGCTAACATGTTGCTGAGACTACCAAGGAGGTGAGGTTGTTAATAGGGAAATGAAAATGATGTTTAGAAAAATAAAAAGTTTACAAACATCTTTGCAACCAAATATATACAGTTTCAAAAGATTCAAAATTTAATTTGCATTTTAAGACACCTGCCTAAAAAATAAATGCAAAGTTAAAATGTTCACTGCACAATAGAAGTGATTGAATCATTTTGCAAATGCAACAATCCATCAGCTTTCATTACTTTTATTTAAGTTTGGTCTACTACCTCTGATGAAAGTTACTTTCAGGGATCGTGTTGGGCTTTGCCATTGTAACAAATTGCGATTTTTTTCCTTATTGGCAACAAAACAATATCTGGCGATGTTTTTGTGACAACATTTTTGGTTGTTAAAACTTGTATATACAGTCTTGGGTTTGAAGTTGAGAAATTCAAAGGCACCATGACAGGAAGCCGCAAACTAGGATATAAAATTGCACTGGAATATATTGTTACATAAACAAATCCTTTGTTCATATAGACAAACCACCCTAACATGGCATTGTTATATCATAATCTGCTAATGCTGATGTCTAGTTTTAATACCATGTGCTGTAATATAACCTCAATAGTCATACTACCTGACTAGCTCAACCACCTCTGAAATCAGGAACGGGAATGACTACAATTATTTGATTTGCCACAGCAATGACAAACAGGCATTTGTTTGTTCCTTTAAAGAGCAAATGAACTTCATCAAAGCAAGCTGATGACATTTGATCTCAGAAAGTAAGCAATAAACTTAAAATAAAAACATATTTCATAGTGTCATATTTATTTTGCCATGAGAGTTACCCATCTGCAACAAAAACATTTATGTGTACAATCGCTACCAATGACGGTTTAAAACCCCAATCTAAGTTCCAATATATTCAAACAATAAATATCTACCTGTCAAGTAAAATTAAGGTGGGCCATCTTGCAAGAATGTTAAAATTTTTCAATTTGTTCACGTTTTCATTTCCCTATGAATAGCCTCATCCCCTTGGTAGCCTCGGCATTATGGTAGTTGTCTTTGACTGCCC